TAGTTCTGAACCGATTCAGAAAAAAAAAAGCTAAAACACCTCGATAGTTCCTCCTTCAACAAGAACTGGAATAATTTCCCAACCCTAGTAGAAGTACAAGATAATTGAGACTCATCATCAGACAGTGACTCCGAAGATTCAGTACCTATCTGAAGATGATGATAATTAATTAATCATAATTTATGTAATAATACTAATAAATTCAATACTATTATTTTCTACCATATTTATTTAATAATAAATAATAGTTATTTAATAATAATATTTTATATATTTTTCTTTATATAAAGTCTGTTTTTTTTTTTGAAGATAAAAGTCAAAATGACATTATGTATGTTGGCAATACAATGTAAAATTGTCAATGCTTTTAAATTTTCTATGTAGAAAAGGATTGTGTTGCCAACATATAGAGTTACTAAATTTTTGACTTGGGGAATTATCTTAAAAAAAAAAAACAGACTTTATGTTCATATAAGTAAAGTAATAAGCATTAACTCATAGCTCATCCTTCTAGTTTAAGAACGTCGATAGCCTATGAGAATTAAATTTTTTGTACGTTTGCCCCAACATTTTTGTCAGACAATTACATTTTTCATCCAAGAATATAATTACTTGTTACCTTCTACTTTTGTCGGAAAAATGGTTGTGAAAATAAGGGATGAGGGATGTCCAAACTCTGTATAGTTTAGGAATATCGATTACCAATAAAAATTACATTTTTTGTCCGACTGTCGATTTGCCCCAATATTTTTGTCCGACATTTAAATTTTTTGATTTAGAATGTAATTACTAAGACCCTCCTATTGTTGTGGGAAAAATGGTTGTAAATAAAATTGTTGCAGGAAATTGTCATCTTTGGCGCATCCGACTGCGCACATGCCCCGTGAAAATTGTCCGACAAGGTTACCACATTATTGTAAAAGATTTCTATGATAAATTCTGTTCAAATCAGCCGTGTGGTAGTAATTTTTTTTTCCCATAAATTTGACATATTCAACGTGTCCGACGCGTCGAATGCCCCAATATTTTTGTCCGACACATTTTTTTTCGTTGTTTATGTGATAAAAACTATTGATTAAAATAAAATTACCAATGCGGTCATACATTTTTTTCTTGCATAAAATCGACAACTTCGTGACAGCTTGACCACAGAACATATCACCTATAGAAAAATATCTCAAATGAGAGAATCGCGACGAAGGTTTTTAGTTAGGTTTTCAGTCAACGATGGCGACACTGTCGGGAGATAAGAGAAATTTACAGGTATCTGTGGTGTGGGCAGTGATTTGTGTTGGTTGGTTTTGTCATTTATTTTGTCATTTCAAAAGTCAAAATTTGAATTTTTAAATTGTGTTGTTGTGAACTATGAACCATGGTCCCCACGCGCGTTAAAGTGAAAATTCAAAAAGTTTTGGTTGAAAAAAACCCTAATTTTTGTTCGTATTTTTTTGTATTTACTCGTTTGTTTCGTTTCGTTCGTATTTGTATTTATTATTCGTATTTACTTTGCGATCTACCTATAGCTGCGTGTCGCTTGCTAACTTACTAACTCTCTTTGCACTATGTTCGACATTGGAAACTTCCTGCCAGTCATAGTTTTCAAGAAAATGAGGCGAAAAGAGCTAAAAGGAGTCAGCAAGCCAAATGCAGTTGAACATTAAAAATTATTTAAAAATAATAAAAATATAGGGGAAAAATCAATTCGCCTTTTTGTCAAGAATGCTCGATTAGTCAGGTTTTCATTCAACGATGGCGCTGTAATTCATAACCGGTACATAACATTGCAGATACTTTTCTAGAGGTGATATGTTCTGTGAGCTTGACAGACAAACGCCCCACTACCATAATGCGCTAAGCTCAAAATTTGTCCGACTTCACCCAAATAGCAAATACAAAAAGTTTCGACGGTGTGGTCATAAATAATAAATTTAGATCTGGGCCCAAGGACTATAATAGGAGATTTCAATGCCAAACTTGGTAAGAAACTGAATAAAGAAGAGACTAAAATAGGGGACTTTGGATACGTTGAGAGGAACGATAGGGAAACAACCTTGATGAACTATCTAGAAGAAAAACATCTATATGCGATGAACTCGTTCTATAAGAAGAAACCGCAAAGAAAGTGGACATGGCTCAGCCCTAATGGAACAACGAGAAATGAAATTGACTACATACTGACCACTGAAAAATATATTATTAAAGATGTAACAGTCCTGAACAGATTCACCACAGGCAGCGATCACAGAATGGTTAGAGCAAAAATACGTATCGATGACAACTTTGAAATTAAAAGAAAAACTAATGGAAACAAGGGACAACTAGACATGACCAAACTTGCACAAAATAAAACCATATACAAAGAGAGACTGAAGGAACAACTGACCCAGAACTTGAACAGCGATAATGAAAATATAGATAAAATATACGATACATTAGCAGAAACCATGCTTAGGGTAGGAAAAGAAATCGCACAAAAAGATAAAAAGAAGGAAGATTGCATATCAGAAGAGACAAAGAAACTCATGGAAAGAAGGCGGAAACTGAACGAAGAAGGGAAAAGGAAATCGACAGTATACACAGAAATCAATAAGACCATCAGGAAAATGGTAAAAGAAAACAAAAGAAAGAACCAAGAAATAGAAATAGAAAGAGTCATAGAGAATAACAGGAATATGAAATGTCTAAGACCGACACTAGGAAGATACGAAATAAATAAAATAAAAGACAAGAACGGCGTAGAAACTAATATTAAGGAGGATATCATAAATATCACACAACTCTTTTATACAGAACTATATCAAACAAAAAAGGAACCACCGCAAGAAACCGTAAAACAACTACAAACTAAAATAAAGAATGTAAACTCAGAACTACAACCCGAAATAAGCAAATCAGAAAAAAAGAGGGCTCTGAAAGAAATGAAAAACAGCAAAGCACCTGGAAAAGACGGAGTCACGGCAGAAATGCTAAAATACGGTGGAAAAACGGTTATCAATACTCTCCATACCTTCCTAAATAAAATACTGAAAGAAAAGAAAATCCCAAACAACTGGAATGAATCCATAACAATCATCCTTCATAAGAAAGGTGATCGAACAGTCTTGAAAAACTATCGACCTATAACACTCCTTAATGTAATTTATAAGCTCTTCACAAAAATTCTCACCACCAGGCTAACAATAAAATGGTTATCAATCGAAAGAGCAGGCCGGCTTCAGAAAGGGTTTCAGTACAAGCGACCACCTATTAACCATGAAAATCCTAATAGAACGAGCCAACGAATATCACATGCCACTATATATTGCATTTATCGTCTTCGAAAAGGTTTTTGATAGTGTTAAACACTGGGCACTGAAGAGCTCATTAATTAACAGCAGAATAGACTACAGATACACAGACCTAATAACCAACATATATAGCGAAGCAACAACAGCTATTAAAATCCATGAGGGAACAAAACTAATACCCATAGGAAGAGGTGTCAGACAGGGTAACACAATATCACCCAAACTTTTCAATCAGGCCCTGGAAGATGTTTTTAGAAAACTAGACTGGGAAGAAAAAGGTATAAAAATATGCGGACAACACTTGAGCAACTTAAGATACGCGGATGATATCACCCTAATATCCACAATACCTCAAAACCAAAGTTTTTAATCAATGTATACTTCCCGTTCTCACTTATGGATCCCAAACATGAACACTTACAAAGTCAAACATGGATAAAATAACAAAAGCACAAAGATCAATGGAAAGATAAATGTTACATGTGAAACTGATAGATAAAAAGAGGAACGAGTGGAAAAGAAATAAAACGAGAGTAGGAGACGTTAGAAAGGAGGTAGCAAAACTAAAATGGAAATTCGCATGTCACAATATCAGACAAAAAGACGACCGATGGAATAAATGTATCTTAAGCTGGAGACCTTGAGAAAATGAAAGAAGTAGAGGAAGACCCCTAGATGAGGTATGCTGATAACCTGAAGAAGCACGCTGAAACCAGGTGGATGAACATGGCAACAGATAGAGAGGAATGGAGAAGACTGGGGGAGGCCTACGTCCAAAGATGGACTGAAGAAGGCTGAATAGATAGAATAGATGTACAGTATTTCTATCACTACAAATCTAATACTTAGTGAAAAATCAAAGGCATAAAGTTTGTACGTACTGAAAGGGTTGAAATAAGGGCGTGCGATCTACTGAAAGAATTAGTTCAATGGTTTTCAAAATAATAAATTGAATAAAAATAATAGCCCCAAGCTATACCAAATACGTGGTGGGTAACAAAAGATTAGCTATAAGAACAAGAAGTTCTAAACTGCTTCAATGATAATTGTATTGGACGAAATAAGAGAACAAAAATCGCTGAAGACGTTTTCATACAAAAATGGAAAATAATAACTCAATAAAATAGAGTTCATCGTGAACCCAATCATTCAAAAGCTGCTAATAGTTCATGGCAAATTAAATTTGGAATTGATCATCCCACAATATGAATGCGACATGTTTTAGGAAAAATATAATGGAAAGACGATACCGGTTTGTGGCAAATCGATTAGCGACAAGCTGGCAAATATCCCATTCGTCACTTATTTTTGTTAAAATACATTCACTACCATGAAAGGGTAAGTAAATAACACCTGGAATAGATAAATTCTCGACCTTCTTTAATCAAAAACACCAGCAGAAGTCATTTCGCTGAAACTTTGAGAAATATAATTTATTCATTTACATTCAACCGTTCAACTTTAAACCACTGTGTTATGTTTGGTAGAATCGATTAGGACCACCTATCACAATAATTATAACAGGGAGTTTAACTTAAATCAACCACAATTATTGGCACAAAGTAAATCTAATATCTAACGGTAATGCAATTGCATAAAGCTAAACGACCCTGGAAGATTGCCAAATTGTACAGGATTATTAGTATTCCAGTGCGTCTCTTAGCGGCTTATGAAATTCAAAAGTCGTGTCTACTTAGCACTTATATAAACCCCGTTGGAACTTAATGTTCGTTACATTCAGTTTTTGTGTTTTTTTAGTGTAATATCTCCAAGTGATATCACTATTGATCATGGTGCTCAAGGTATGAATATTTGAAATTAGAATATTGTAAAAAGTGTAAAGTGAGAAAAAAAAAATGAAATAATTGGAAGTTAATTTCGGTTATCAATCTATTTTTTTTTTACTCTTATTATGGAGGAAAAAAGTCTAGTCCACATCTAGGTGAATTTGTGGCTTTCTTCATCTTGAGTTTTACTTTTACTTTTACTGTTTTTTAATAAAACAAGATTTTTTAAATTAATATTTTACGGCTTGGTCAACTGCCGTTGCGTGCGGTAAAGTATCACTTTCCACATTTGTTAGGTAAATAACTATTACCTACGAGCGTGCGGTAAAGTGCACTTTACCGCACGTTTTTGAAAATGGAAAGTATCACTTTACCGCACACTATGCGGTAAAGTTAACTTTACAGCATAGTGTGCAGTAAAGTTAACTTTACAGCATAGTATGCGGTAAAGTGCACTTTACCGAACACTTTGTAGTCCACTTTACCGCATAGAGTGCGGTAAAGTAGAATTTGATATTTATAATCAAAATTCCTTTCTGTTTCAGAAAATGGATTTTTGATCCTTTCTAAATTTAATCTTATTCCATTAATTAATCTGATTCATTAATTTATTTTATCAATGCTTTTTTTGGAGGTGTAGATGCTCATAGGTAAAATTTTGTACCTAACACATGCGGAATCACTTTCCGCATTTGTTAGGTAAATAACTATTACATTTAAGGGTTTGGTAAAAATATCAGCAATTTGTTTTTCAGTTTCACAGTATTTTAAGCGAGATTTCAAGTCTATAGGTCCTTCTTGTACCTTTTCTTTAATAAAATAGTATCTCACATCAATGTGCTTGCTCCTTTTATTAAACTGTCCACTTTTTATTAACTTTATAGAACTTTGATTGTCCACATTCAGTTCGAGTTTTATATCATCACTTGTCACTTCATCAATCACAGCTTTTAGGTATATTAGTTCCTTAACACACTCGGCTGCAGCAATATATTCTGCCTCGGTGGTTGAGAGAGAAACTATGGGCTGTCTCCTTGAACATCAACTGATTGGACCTCCACAAAATATTATTACATACCCTGTGGTACTTTTGCGGGTTGAAATATCTCCTACAAAATCCGAGTCACTATAAGCAATCAATCTGTTTTCACTGCTTCTTTTTTTATAACAAATTCATTCTTGCTGTGTCGATGATAAATGACGCATTATTTTCTTTACATTTGTCACATCTTGGTCTGTAGGATTTTCCATTTTCCTGCTGCAATAGTTTACTGAAAATGACAAATCTGGTCTGCTATTATCAGTTAAATACAATAAACTGCCATTTGCTTCTCTGTATGGAAAATTTTTAGACAACGTTTGGTTTTCTTCACTCTTGGGGTTATAGTCCATGGGTGTAGATGCTTTCTTAGCATTTTCCATGTTAAATCTTTTTAAAACTGTTTTTATGTACTTCGTTTGTTTGAGTTCAATATGATTCTTTTCCTTGTTTATCTCTATGCCCAAAAATGATGTAGGATTTTTAGTGTTTGTGAACTCAAATTCTTCTTCTAGCTTTTTCAATAATTTTTCTGTTTCTTTCTCATCACTGCTTACCAAAATACCATCATCTACATGTGTGGCCAAAAATAAAGTACTTGACTCATTTTTGAATAAACATTGTTCACTTTTTAAAGATATTAAACCACTGTCTTTCAAAAAAGTACTGAATCTTTCATTCCATCGCAATGGTGCCTGTTTTAAACCATAGAGTGCCTTGTTTAGTAAGCAAATGTTATTTTTATTTTCTTTCTCCTCGTAAAAATCTGGTACTTCCATGAAAATTTCTTCTTCAAGGTTGCCATATAAAAATGCCGTTTTTATGTCAAATTTTGTGATCTTATAGTTATTTGTTGTACTAGGCAGAAAAGTACAAGATTTAATGCCGCGGCTGGTGTTTCATAGCCGAGGCATAGCCGAGGCTAGGAAACCAGCCGAGGCATCAAATCTGCTTTTCTGCCATATAAAACATATAATTTTTTCCCCGAATGTTCAAATTCACACATGGACATCTTTTTTAAATTTATTTCATTCATTATTATTATCCAAATAATTAAATTATTTTGACAATTGTCATTGTCACCTAGTGCCGGCCCGAGCCTACTTTTAGGATGGAGCGAGATCCGACTTTGGCGCCCCTTATTCAAATAAGAATCGTACTCGTATGAATTTTGCCCAAAACTTATTATATTAAACCCTATCTATCTCATCAATTGAAATTTGAAAACATCAATGTTCATTGGTACCGTTGGTATCTACTATTTTCCTTTTGAGACTGGATTCAAAGTAGAATGACAAGCAAATAATGAAAGTTGTGTGAAATAGTTATTTATGTATCAAGGGAATTATGAGGGTGTTAATACCCCAGGGCTCACCTGATAATTCTCGTGGTACATAGATAATTTTATTTCCTACTGAATTTACTGTATTTTGTCCATTTTTATAAAGGAATAAACCATAAACCAAAATTTTTATTTTTTCTCAAAGTTTTACCCATTCAAGGTAAAAGCGGGAGTTATAGAAATCCTTAACTCCCTTAGGAGTTATGATATCCTTAACTCCTGCGCGGGAGTTATGAAATCCTTAACTCCCTTGGGAGTTAAGACCCTGTTTACGATTATCGTAACCTAGGTATTATATGGTTATAATAGTTCAGTAGGAAATAAAATGTATTTATTTATTTTATTTGTCACTCATTTATAAAACGTCATTTATCAAGTCAAAACATAAACAACGAAAATTGATTTTTTCCAGTTACTGGCTCTACTGACTTGTAAAATTGACAGCTAAACTGTAATAGTTATTTACCTAACAAATGCGGAAAGTGATACTTTACCGCACGCAACGGCAGTTGACCAAACGACGCGAAGCGGAGTTCGGTCTAGCCGTTAAGGCGGCGAGTACAAAGGTAATAATTTTCAAATTTGGTGTAAAAATAAGGGCATAGTTTTGGATTATACCGTACCCTATAGTCCACAACTAAATGGTAAAGCAGAAAGGCTAAACCGAACAAGAAATTCTGGGGGGAAGCTATGTATGTGGCAGCCTATCTATTAAACAAAAGTCCTACAGAAACCATTGAAGTAACACCCATTGAAAAATGGACAAGCAGAAAACCAGATCTATCAAACTAGCAAGTTTTTGGAGTCACAGCTTATGCTAAAATTTTGGGACACATCAAAAAGCTTGATGCAAGAAGTGAAAAATTCACATTTGTGGGTTATGCGTTTAATGGTTATCGTTTATGGGACGAAAAAACAGGAAATATTAAAATATACAGGGATGTGATTTTTCAAGATCCAAAGGAGAAAATCGAAGAACCAAAAAGAAGGATAGAATCTATAGAAGAGGAAGAACAAGAAATTGTAATAGAAGATACCTCAGAACAGCCAGCACAAGAAAAAGAAAATGAGACAGAAGAGACAGTTTTACCATTGGGAGAAGGCCATGAAGAAGAACAAAGAAATCCTAAATAGTATAGATAAGGACAAATGGAAGGAAGCAATTGAAGAAGAAAAGAAATCATTACAAAAGAACAACACTTGGACATTAGTACACAGAAACAAAACAGAAAACAGAAAATCACTAACAAGCAAATGGATATTTCGAATTAAGGATGATGAAAAGTACAAGGCAAGGCTTGTAGTGAGAGTTTTCCAGCAACAATATGGCATTGACTACAAAGAAACATTTAGTCCTGTATGCAACATGAGTTCTATAAGAATACTTTTGGCTTTATCACTGAAAATAGTATATTGTTGTATTAGGAGTAGAAGTTTTACTTTTTTGTGCTGAAGCACAAAAAAGTGCTTCTACTCCGTATGCAACACGCTATTTTTTCTCCAAACGAATGGGGTAAGCTCGGGGGCAAGTGAATGGTTGAGCGGCAGCAAAAGTACGAGCGGCACTAAAAGTACTTTTACTGCCGCTCCAGCGGCACTAAAAGTACTTTTGCTGCCGCTGGGGTTGCCAAGCAGTATAGAAATTAAATTTCTACCACCTCGACAGGTATTACCCGCTGGATTTGCCTAGCAGCATAGAAATCAAATTTCTGACATCTTGACAGGGGTTAACAAAGTGACGTTTTTCTGACGTTTGGAGAAAAATGAATTTTTTCTCCAAACGTCAAAAAAACGTCACTTTGTCAGCACCTGTCAAGATGTTAAAAATTTAATTTCTATGCTGATAGGGAAATCCAGCGGGTTAACACCTGTCGAGGTGGTAGAAATTTAATTTCTATGCTGCTAGGCAACCGCAGCGGCAGTAGAAGTACTTTTGGTGCCGCTGGAGCGGCAGCAAAAGTACTTTTAGTGCCGCTCGTACTTTTAGTGCCGCTTAACCATTCAGTTGCCCCCGAGCTTACCCCATTCGTTTGGAGAAAAAATAGTGTGTTGCATACGGAGTAGAAGCACTTTTTTGTGCTTCAGCAGTATTGCAAGCCTCACTACGTTCGGCTCGCAAACCTACTGCTTCAGCACAAAAAAGTAAAGCTTCTACTCCTAATACAACAATATACTATTTTCACCGAATGACAGTAAAAGTGGCCTTTTAATGACACTTTACAGGATCAAAAGTTGCAGTTTTACTGCCTAGGCATTAAAAGTGACATTGTCACAACGTTCCAGATAATAATTTCACTTAATTTTGTATTTGAAATTGATGGTGACAACAGGGCCGGCCCTACCATAAGGCGAACGGAGCGAGCGCTCCAGGCGCCAGACCCGAATCGTTGATGATTAAAAAAAAAAGAGAATAATATATTTCTGCTTTGGATCCTGTTTTCGCTTTTCGATATCCTGTAATTCTGCTTGCGAGCAAGCGTGTGGTTAGTATGTGAATCCCATAAAACGTTCACGCCCGGTTTCTTCATTTCCAGATAAATTTTCTATTGACTGTCTGCAAGACAAATTCACGAATCTATAATCCTATTTCTCGACGGATAGTTGGCCGACCAAAGGGATTGCGGATTGCCTTTT